TAATTTGTATCAATTTGATTTCACCATAAATCTATCTCTCTGATAAATATTCTCTTTGTAAGTAGCTACGTAGTAACTAAATTACCTGTTGTATCTGTTATTTAGGTCGAAAACCGAAAAACTCTGAAGATATTAAAAAAGACACAGGTAATTACAACTATAGGCACATTTTAATGCTATTATGGGTTCATCACAATTTTAAGAACATTAGTTATCCTTCTATGGTCGTTACAATTTAACTATTATTAGGATTTGTCAAACTTTACTTAAAGTTATATTTATGCAAGATATTTAGCCGTACAGATACTGTAACATGAAATGAATACATTCTAGCTAGTGATTGTAACTTATAGTAATTAGGTAATAGAGTCACAACCTACATAAAACTATCACAAATTTAACTTCATTGCGTGGTGATGACTATTATTGTATTATCAATGCAGCTTTTCACTTAGTATATAAGATCAAATCTTACCGATACATAAATTTTCATATAAGTCAAACACAATAACATTTCACCTACAAATAATCAAAGCTGAATTGACACCTTTTGAGTAAGCATAATCGATTAATTAGTTGTTTTTAATAATTAGTGTTGCTTACCAATGTTTCCTAGATCATTTTATGTTATTCTTCTAAAAGCAAGTCTCATAATAACATATTAAGTTGTAAGGCATAAATTTACATCTAAGAGCGTCACTGCGTTGTGACACAAGTATATGAGGAAAAGCAATCGATTAATTACTCGGTTTCTTGGTAATTGTGATATATACCAATCACGAGATTCCAAATTTTAGAAAAAATAAGGGCTTTATTGAATCTTATACAAAGATTAACTACACACAGCTCTACTCTAGCCGAATACTACTACTAAAGACTTCTACAACGAACTAACAGAATAATCTAAAGTTGTATGCTTTTATATTTTTGTCACAAATCCCACTTATGATTTGGTTAGGTCAGGTGCTATAGTAATTGTGTGTGTCTTTGTCACACACCACTAGTGACAAAGTAGTCTACACACGCCAATCCTTGCGGAGAACGCCACTTACTAACTTAAAGAGGCGAGATTAGCTATATCACCAAATGATTCAGTTCCAACAACCGAATACTATGGTATAATTATAGCGTCACAGATGATGTAGACGAGATAGTCAGAGATTTACTATCATTTATTACTGAAGGAATCTTGGCACCCAAGATTATAGTCTTTACAATTAAATATCAATTGAAAAACTAGTTGACTATCTAACCGACTAACGAACTAAAAAGGAATCTTCAGGCACCAGCCTTTTATAGTCTCGTCAGAAACTCCTGGTAATCCGCATGGCAACCTTTTACCTTATATTACACATAGTTAAATTATTTTTAGTAAGACTACTCTACTGCGGACCATCATTAATCCAATATGGATACGACTACAGTACTTACGTAGACATCATTCACACCAGCATCAGTACAGTACAATGAATTAACCATATCCTAATATATGATTTACAGTTCTATTTTTACCTATAGCCTTGTTAGTAACTCAACAGCTTACTGTATATAGTCATCTGTACTCTAGCATAGAGTCTCTATCACTACAGTCTATAGTTATAGCTACCAAATATCTCTTAGGATAAATATCTACTGTACATTATACTAAACATGGCTAACAGTCTACAATCACAATACTAAGTTACATTACAGTAATCTACATGCTATTTTTCATTTTTGCTTCCAGTAAGGCTCAATAATGAGTAATGTAAAGATCGTCTTGGATTCGTATTCCATAAATGCAAATGTAATAAAACCTGTTCTACTAGCTGCATTTAGACTGCAAGGAATAAAAAGATAGCTTAGTTTTATTACTGATACTCTAACAATCGAAATACTAAGTAATAGTACAATAGGCTCTGACAGACATAGAAAAATTTGTTACAACAGCAGATTTTTGAAACAAAGACTTAAAATAATAATAACAGAATAAAATAACTACTTAAGTACGTTCCCTAACATGTTTACAACGTAAAGATTGCAAACAATAACTCTTAATACTTACACAATCTAGTATGAGAACGAAGTTTTATGACTAGAATTAGATTTTATAACTGAACTAACAGCCTCACTACAAGACTATTCTATAGTAGACATTGCAGTAATTTTGGTGCGTAATAAATAATTGATTTCTATTCTGTTTGCATACGGAACTGCAGACTATGCTTCTAAGTCAAAGTCTAATCCAGGCGCCATATCTTTTTTCATGATGCATATAACAAATGTTATAGTTGATAGGTTCCTAGACTGAAAAATGTACAATATCATCTGAAACGTTTGTAACAATTAACTTGATATTTTTCTTATGAAACACGTTTACTGTTAACAGGAATGGATACCACTGATAGCCAAAAGAAAAATCAGCGTAAGTTGTTTAAAATATAACGGTAGATAAAGGCTCCAATTAAAATGCCTTTGCTCCTTCTTATCAAGAGATTTATATTTAAAATGGTTGCTATCTATGAATTAGGAGTATTTATAAGTTATAGCTGGAGTGATAAAGCGGATGTCCGATATGTAAAAGAATTCTTGGAAAGCAAAAATATTTCCTGTTGGATAGATGAAGAGAAAATCTACGTGGGAGATGAACTTCACCCTGTAATAGCGAAAGCTATCATGTCGTCTGAGGTATGAAGGCACATTTTAATCTTATAAATATATCCTCTTATCCGTTATTGCGACGAAAAACAGGTTGAGCAAGGCAAAATTTAAGCAAATACTGGTATATTGTCATATTAACCGAATTACTCGTACCTTCCATTGTTAATTCGAAAATGAGATACAATAAATAGAACTTAAATTTTACGTCAAGAATAGACTGTGGCAATATTTCTCAATAAGATGTAGAGGAGATACAATTAAATCGACACAGGACATAATGAAAGATTCGAAATTTTAATATATTCCTGTATAGAGACTGTTTTTTGATTCTGTAACTGTAAAGTTAATTATGATAGTAAAATTTTTAGATATACTTTTCACTTCATTTACAGATTAATTGTTGATTTATAAATTTCGTAGTTATAATACATTTTTAGATTTTGTTGTAGTGGCTTATTTTCAAAATAGAACTTTAATTCAGAAGTGAGTTATGATCTTAAAGTAATTATAAGATTCTGCTCTCTAATTATCTCGATATTATCTTTCATAGATGTTTATGCCGTTTTTGAGCAAGAATTACGCAAATTCATACAATTGTTACCTGGAATTTAATTACGCACATTTGCATCAAAAGACAATAAAACCTGTCATCATCAAAGATATTGATCCAAAGAAGGATTTGATAAGTTCAGATGGCAAGAGAGATTTCTATTTTTTAATTAGTACTAAGGTCTACACTAAAATTCTTCGTCAAAAACAAACAGATGATGAATTCAAGAAAAATTTAGAGAAACTATATGGTACTGTTAAACAAAGAAATACGGGTCATTACATTTGTAACATGATTTGTGTATTCTAAGTATCCGTATAAGAAATATTCTAATCACTTGCGTTTGCTTTAAATGATCTTTAAGTAGCAGTATGAGTGGTAAAGATCATAAAATATCGTCATGCAAAAGTACTTATTTTCACCGAGCTATAAATTTGACAAATATAAATTTATGTTATATCTTGAAATTTTAGAAAGTATCGTCAAACCTAAGCCAGAGACCAAATCGAGTCAACAACAACTTAGCCCTGCGAAAGACGAAGTTGACAAGATGGATACAGAAACGGCTCCAGGTAAATTATAACTCATGTATTTTCTCAGTAAATAACAGAATAGTAAAGTGATGATAAATTTATGCTTCGCGCCTTTCAAAACAACGAATATATGACAATAAACATCTGAAACTAATTCTTTCATTTTCACTTCATGAATCACTCTACTCAATTTCATTAATCTATTGATAATTTCAGCAAAAATAATTTCTTAGTATCTCAGTTACAGGATATTAATTGTAACTGTAGAAATCTTTGTTTACTGAAGAAAGGTTAATAATTATAATTAATTATTTACTTTTGGGGTTGAAGGGCGTTATTAGATTTATTATACTACCGTTTGAGAAAGTATGCTTTACAGACTTTTATAATTTTCTAATCTGTAATATTATTGCCAATTTAGCATTGTACTTACTTCTTATTTACTTCTTATCCAAAATCTATCTAAGTTAAGTAAATTTTGATGATAACATAAAGAAAATTATCTTAACTCCACTCCTATTTTAACTACCCTATTTCGACGTCATTTATTGATTCTACTGACTATTGATTTACCAAAGATCAGTATAAATATAGTTCAAAATACGAAAGGTACCAACTACTCTGTAGACTAATAACACATTTGAAACGTGTAGATTACGTACTAGTTGCTATTAAATCATTCCTAATAACCTCACAGCTATCATGGTAAAGCTAAGATAGCGGATGCTTATACTCTGTAACTGAAAACTTCTTCAGGAGGATATCCTAAACTGTTAATAGTACCTCAAATGAGTTGTTAATCTAGTTAAATACTAATTAAGTAATATTTTAGAAGTTATTACTTGGGAATTCTACTGTGCATCATTTATGAAAGTACACATCATACAAAAGCTCAGACACAATTTACCTACGATTTCTGTACAGAGCGCTATAAATTTAACAAACGAGCTACATATCACAGTAGATCAATTTTTATTACATTTTTTTGGCAATTAAACTTCAAGAAAAACTATCAGTTAATCTATAAGATAGATTTCTGTCGTTAGCGTAAACAGAGTATGCTTCATTACCGGGTACGGAAATGGAGCAGCAACTGCTGTTCTTCCTATTCTAAATCGATTAAATTACTCAATTAGTCCGTTAATATGAAAGTATAACTCTTAAAAAATCGAGTCTAGTCTCATTGTAGGACTAGTTACTATAGATAAGTAGAATAGAACTAGCGCTATCAAAATTAAACATTTCTTAACATCGAACTCAGTTTTGGGTTATACCGTTATGCCCAGAATTCTACTGTGCATCATTTCTGAAAGTAAATATCGTACAAAGCGCAGACACATTTTACCTACGATTTCTGTACAGAACGCTATAAATTTAACAAGCAAACTATGGTATAACGATAGATCAGTTTTTTTTACCTTAAACACTTTTTCTAGTAAGTAAACTTTAAGAAAAACTAATAGTTAATCTATAAAATAAATTTCCGTCGCTAGCGTAAATAGGGTATGCTTCATAGTCGAAGCTTCTAAAAGGATAGTGTTTTGCTACGGTTTTTAAATTTTAATCCAAAAAAGCCATCTATCGATCTTTCTTTAGAATAGGCAATTGTTAACATTTTTCTACTTATCTACGTATTTGAGATACAAAATTTGTTCATTATAGTATAGCTCATACAAAACATATTAAATATTAGAATATATACCATCACAAAATCCTATACCACATTACTGAATATAACGCGATCAACTTTTCAATAATGAACTACTTAAAAACTTTTCTATAGTAATCGATACGAAAACTTGTGAGAAACAATAGCGATATGTCGTTTTGACAAGATGAAATAAGGATTAGCATCATATCCTATATTATATGTCGTAATCGTAATCTAACTATATCCATTATAAAGACAATGAAAGACTTTATTTATAGTCCACAAATTACGGTAGATTTTCAATTTATAAGTTTGACATTTATGCAGACCAATGGTATATTAGAATGCACGGGTAATTGCAACTATAGAAACATTTTAATGCTCTCGTGGATTCAGTCAATT